GGGCGGGTTAAAACTATGTGCAAAAGAGGCGTCGTCTACATCGGCGGCAAATCAATCGACTACCTTACCTTCTCGCTGCGTGCATATCTTCTCTCGTGCTCCGCGATCTCGACGTCCCACGCAAAACTCACTCTCGCGATAGTTTTGAACGTAACTCGGTTCACCCACGGGGACAACGACAGTTCGAGAGGTCCTCCTTCAAGCCTCTGTCTATTCCCTTCTTCTCCGGCTCCTCCTTCTCCTACACTTCTTTCGTCGAGTTGGTCGCTCGGCCGCTACCTCTCCCGATATCTCTTCTATCAGTCTAGCGGTCCCCGTTCCGGCCCTTACGGTAAACGAACATCCTCCGAGGCACAAACTCTACTCACCCGCTGATCCGGCTCGTCCCGTGGACTCATATATTGTACGCGCACACTTCCTTCTCGCCACGGTCCTTCCGACGACCGGGAGGTCCGACACCTCGATCGCTCGGGAAAACAGTAAAAATTCCGTCCGCGATTATCCCCCCCGTCCCGTTGCTCGGGACTAAAGAGATTTCGAGATCGGTTCACGCGATTTGCTCCCGTTCTCCTTTCCCCTTTCTTTTCTCTCTTTTCGAAATTTCTACGGAGAGAAACAGTCACGGCGACGACGGCGACGACGAGGACGACGACGGTAACAGCGACGGCACACGACACGTTCGACTCGACGATATGCCGCCGGCTCGACGCCAGCGACGCCTGGCGTCGCGACGCCCCACCCCCTTTCTATGTGTGAAAAGCTGCGTGCACAGCGTCGTACGCGACGCGACGCGACGCGATTCGACCCTCGGACGTACCGATACAAAGGAATGTATTGGATTTGCGTGCATCTGACAGTCTCCACTTTTAATTGAAATTTTTCGGTTCGATGGTCGCCGGCCGTTCTATACCCGAATTCTTACGGACGTTCGCATCTCGCCGAACACCGGGACGACCAACGAAGAGGAAAAGAATAAATTTCACCTCGTTGGGCGAAAATTGTTTTTTTTTCTGGTGGTTGGGTTTTTTCGGTAAAAGTACTTCCCGAGGAACGATCTCGTTTTCATGTATTTCGGGGTAGGCGAGTTTTTGGCGATCGACTCTTTTCACGAGTGTAAGGGAGTAAAAAAATAACGACGAACACGTAACACAGGATGTCGCAGAACGAAAATGAAGCTTGTAGGGGAACGGATTGAACGCATCCTTGTTTACGTGTGTCGAGCCGCAGGTGTCGAACAAGTAGTTTACCTTGTGACGCGTGCATATATGTATATGTATATATATCTATTTATACGAATGATTGTTGGCAAGATTATTCGTCTTTTAAAGACGATCGGCGGTATCAAGACGCGACGTGTAAGTGAGTGAAAGAACAAAAGTGAAGTTATTCTTAACAAGGTAAGAAGTGTCAGATCATATGTGGCGCTAGGGACTCATGTTTTGTTGTCAAGTGTAAACGAGTATGCGATTAAATGTGTTCGACAACAAATGCATTATTCCTGCGCGTAAACAACTCCTGACCAGGTTAAAAGGATAATGGAACGGTTTATGTTTCGTTGAAACAAGTGGCGCCATCGAGCTAACGTGTTCCCAATTATATTCCTGCCTGGAAGAATGATAAAACAGTGCGACAGAAAGCCTCCCCTCGAATTTGCGAAAGAAAACGTTGATCCTTAAACGATTTCAACTTTACTGCAGACCGTTTCACAATTATGACTTTTTATTCGACAACTTTTGTAGCATTTTTCTGTGGGTACCAACAAGCATGCTCTATAATTAACAACGCATCAGTCTACCCGTAGAACCTTGTTCTATTCTTAAACCGTTCCACCGAAGAAAAGATAAGCCGGGGTTGCCGAGGGCCTGTGTTTTATTTATACAACATTCTCTGCCTGACTATATTTATATATGTACTGAGAAAGCAACGACTTTAAACAGTGTGCAAATAAGTAAGATCGTCACAGGTTCCCGAGTTTTGTAACAAAAATTGAATCGATAAAAATCAATTTTCAAACGCCGATCACTGCAAGATTTTAATAAATAGTAAAAACAAAATATATGTTCAGGAAAATTGAAAGCATGCCTTTCTTTTACAGTGATTTTCATTTTGCGTTCCTACGAAGATACCAAACAACGCTAACCCTATGCCCCATGACTGTTAATTACGCGTACCATAATGCGTTTTAATTATAAAACAGCAACTGTACTCTATAAAAATTATTTCGAATCAGAAGTGTTAACCTAACCTATATCGACTACTATATAAAGAGCAAAAAAGAAATGTTGTTCGGGCAACGAATGTAAATCGTAACTCTATTTCCATAAAGAAAATTAGTATTGTACTATTCTGAACTGATACAGACACCGATCGTACAGTCAAAGGAACAAAGGTATTCGTGCATTTTTCGCGTATTCACCTATATTCAAGGACTTTTCGGATAACGATAGTTATACGATCAATGATGTACATAAAAAAATAAATAAAAAATTTAAGGACCAAATGAGTACGAAAATGTGTACATTTTTTATTTCCTTATGAAATTCATTAATGTTAGTAATGAAATGATCACCGGAAACGAACTGGAATTTCCGGCGTTGTCCGTTGAATCTGTCGTTGCGATTGGAGAGATGAATTGCGTCCGAACAGAAAGAACGAATAGCGCGTTGTTAATAGAAGCTTAGAGGGAATCGGAAACTGTTGCTGACTCTCTTTCTTTCGGTCGTAAGCCGGCACCGGTTCACCATAAGAACCGACTGTGACGCGTGCCAACAGCTCCGAAATTATTCTGGTGGCCAGTATACCGTTGCTTTCACTGATCTCGTCCGTTCGACCGGTCCACTTGCTATTTTCTGACGTGGTTTTAACGCGGTAAGTTCTGAACGATACACGATGGCGGCGGTTGACTGTTACCAGAATCAAGCCCAGGCTGAGGGTACCGGGCAACAATCTCAGACTCAGCAGTCCCAGTCTCAGCAGCAGCAGTCTCAACAGCAACAGTCCCAATCCCAGCAGCCACAACAGCAACAAGCTACCGCCGGAATTCCAGGCAAGGATGACGAACGCAAACTTTTCGTTGGTGGCCTGTCGCGTAATACCACGGACAAGGAATTGCGAGATTATTTTGGCAAATTCGGAGAAATTGAAAGTATCTCCGTTAAAATCGATCCCTATACCGGTATATCGCGAGGTTTCGCGTTTATGGTTTTTACCAATCCCAAGACGATCGACAAACTTTTGGCCTCTGGTGAACATTACATCAATAAGCGAAAGGTTGGTAATATCTTTTTTTTTTGTTAAGATAATTTAATCTTTTAATGTGCTAGCTGGTGGACAAATTTCTTCTCGTATTATAAAATCTTCTGTATCGAATAAAGAGTCTTTCTGTTTGTAACGTAGGTTGACCCCAAACGGGTGAGCAAGAAACCCCAGTATGGCAAAATTTTTGTTGGTGGCCTTACTCCTGAAATTACGGATGACGATATCAAAACCTATTTCGGACAATATGGGACAATTGTCGAATTACAAGCACCATTCGATAAAGTGAAAAACCAAAGGAAAGGATTTTGCTTCATAACATTTGACTCCAAGGAAGTTGTATATAAGTTATTGAAAACACCAAAACAAACAATAAACGGAAAGGAAGTAGATGTCAAGAAAGTGAAGGTTAATCTAGATACAAGAAATCAAGGATTCTGGGGACCTGGATATAGCTATGGTTATGGTTATGGCTACATTCCTGAATATTGTAACGGATATCAAGGAGGATATGACGATATGTATGCAAATTTTGATTATGAAAGTTATGATGATTATGGTAATATGGGATATGGAGCCCCAGGTAAGCCACGAGGAAATGGTCAAGGACCACGTCAGTTTCAGAGACATCAACCCTACTAATAGAAGCAAAGGGTATATGAATCTTACATACTCGAAACATGGTGATAAAGCAAGAACATAGTAAGGAGTAGACCAATGTTATTTAGATACAGTCTGAGACTGAGATCAGGAAATTTGGGATAAAAGAGCTTATGAGGTCTTTGTAAGATCCGTGTTCAAATCCCAAATACCCTAATCTTTATATCATGTACATTTAAATGTACAGTTTCTAAAAATGGAACAAGATTTTCATTGATCTGTAGTCAGAGTAATTTGTTAAGTCAAAAAGGATTGCAGCTTTTTCTGTCTATGCACATTTTGTCATGTTTACATAAAACAATTACTAATCAGACTGCAAAAGAGGATATTCAGATATTTTTTACAAATGTTGAATTTTTCCTACAAAGAAATACTTTATCCTACACATACATAAAACAAAGTATGAGGAGGCAGTGACTAATAGTAACTGATTACAATAATGTATTTGGAGCCATGCATACAGTAAAAGAAATTAAAATAATTGATTTACTCCTGGTTTCTTGTTATTCATGATTCATAATACTAACATGTATATCTTATAATTTAATACTCTAATTATTCTTTAGAATCTTAAGTTGCATTACTAAAGTATTGTTTATTATATGCTTGGTGTTAATCTTATTATTAAAAAACACAATACTGTGTTGTTTACAGTAGAACTTTACATCGATAAACAGTTTCAGTTCGGAAAGCACTTGTCAGTTAGAAATAATTGATAGATATAAAACAAATTACCATTCATGGACCAATGGTTCGTACTCCTAATTAAACGTACTTCTTCCTCATAAATTTATAACATAAACGTATTATCTATTATCATCTAATTGTTTATATTTTAAAATAAGGCTTGTAACTTATATGAATCATAAGGTATCATGAGAGACATATACATCCTCGTATGTAATATGTATATGCGTGCATACATACATAGTGATGTATACATGTATGAGTTAGTATATGATAAAGTAGCGATTAAGAGAAAGATAAAAATATTTCAAAATAAATATAATTAAAATATGAACGTCCTGGGTAGATACGCGAAGAGTACGCGAGTGGTAGAGGATGGTTACAAAATATTTTAAAACAACATTGGAAGAGCAATAATTATATTATAGACAGCACGAAATTTCTTTCGATAATTTTATAATTACATACTTTTAGGATATTTTTTCTGTTTTCTGATATTTTACTTGTAACAAAATCATTTGCAAAATTTAATTAAGAAGATCAACGCTTGGAGAATGTTGTTGCACTCGTGTACTCCTTTATATGGAAGACATACAAATATGGCAAAAATAATTGTCTTGTTGCGTGAACAAAAAGATTCGTGAACACTGAATCAACAGAATGTTTAAGGCATTGAAACAAATGTAAGGGAAAATTCTTATAATTTAGGCTACTATGACATTTCTTTTGCATTTGCTTTTGAACAGCAGTTCCTGTCTGGTATACAAAGACTGCTCTTCATGTTGCAAGAAGACTGTTACTTTGTAGAGTATCATATTACATGATACATAACTAGAAAATTTGACAACCAATAGAACTTACGTGTCATTTTCTGGACTAAAAGAATTAAAAGTGACAACATAATTATAGCAAATGTAGATATGGCATTATGAGACTACATTTAGTGTTTACATCGAAATTATACTATACATAAGGCTGATAAGGCTTTAAACATTCAAGTTTTTCTCAGATGTTACAAAAGTATCGAAAGTTTGGCTTAAATAGAATTTAATAAAACACATACACAATGACTAATAAACTGTTCTCTGATGAAAGATTTTAAGCCAAGCTAATTGTGCTTTTGAAATTAAATCTGTATACTATGTATACCATATTTGCTGCGTGTGGAAAAAATATATATATACACATATATATATATGTATATGTATATATATAAATATCTATATATACAAAAAAAAGAGAACAGAGTGTGAAATTAAAGGAAATAACACAAATATTTTGTTACTATTGATTACTATTCGCCTGTTTCACCCATGACACAGTGTATATTTTAATTATAACAAAAAATAAAATATTCATTATTCGAAAAATATTTTGTGATATCCTTGTTTTAATCAAATCTAGACTCCAACATTGGAATTAGAACATTTGATTGAGTTTAAAATTTGTATATTGTAAAGTTTTGTGTATTATACTAATTTATCAATATTTTGCTTCTAATTTTCCAAGTGTATTTGTATTGAATCATGTTACAAAAATGGGGTAATGTTTAGTAATCATACATATACGAATTTTGATTAAACATGTATTGGTGAGTACATGTTTTGATTCACATCAATGTTTCTCAAATCCTAGATTATAAACAATTGAAATAAATCCGTGAGAATGATTTATAATCCAGCAAATTTTCAATCATTTGAACAGTTAGTAATTTATTTACGCTTGAAAATATCGTGACATGTATGATACGATTTAAGAAATATATTGAATTTATTGGTACATCAGCATTCAAATTAATTGTCTACCTCATTTAAATTATTCGAGATTCTCCAACCATGATGTGAACTTTCCTTTTGACCGTGACATTCTATGATGGATTTATAATGATACAAAATTGACATACACCATCAATCGAAATACATAGTTGTCCGATTTCCAAACTTTGAAAGTCATCAGAATAAATAATAACTTTCGTATATCATGATAATCAATAGTATATATTATATTCCGATTATCCATGTGTAAACAGTATAGGAAAACTGTTACAATTGCAATAAATAATATTTTTCCTAATCATTCCATATTATTTAATACACTTTTAGGTATCGAGATTTTACGTAGTGGCGACTTAAAATACATTCAGAGGTTGTGTATTATACAACCTTTTATTTAAATCTCGAAGAGTCCTTTGAACCCGTATCAATCCAGTACATAGTTTAACGTTACCGATAGTTAATTAATTTAAACTTATTAATAAGAATCTAATATCTTGCATATTTCATTCCAATTACGGGTATTTAAATATACTTTGTGATCTTTTGTAGCTTACTAGTTGACTGTTCCAATCGGATACAGTCCGCTAATGTAAAGAAAATTACATTGTATAAGACATCTATACAAAGCTTAAGTCCACTCTAGCTCGAGTGATTTGTCCTAGATGACGTAATAGCCATTTTAAATATTTATTTTTACATTAAAGATTTAATATTAGTTAAAAATGTCACAATGGAAACATCTTTTCGCATGATATTGATTCAAGGAAATGTAATATGTGATTTAGCTGTATTAGAAAAAATATGTAATCATAATTTACACAACCCCTTTGTATTTTTCATAAGACATGTTACATTGAATTACAATACCGATTAGTTGGTGTTGTGAACCAACCCTTATAAAGATCGAGTATGCTATGTAGTTCTTGCTTGAATTAGTATTCTCACTTGGCAAGAGTGTGTAACGAATACAATTTTGACCATCAGTACACACGCACAAACATACAAGTTCATGTATCCTATGCAAGTTGCATTTTACATACAGTCAGCTTACATATCTAAATAAATGAATAGGTACTATACAAAAAATACCTACACATGAATTCACGTATTCGAGAAAATACAATATTTCCGTGATTACGAAATAAGAATGAAAATTGAAATGTTACACGCGATGAAAGTATTTATTTTAAACGCGGCCTAAAGCTCGGTAATGGCAGTTGCATGCGTTGCATGGGAGTAAACGAACGGACGTACAGTCGGACGGACAGACAGCTGCAGTGTCATCGCCTTGGTGTGCGTCGTATTGTACGAAACTGAACTTGTAGTGTCGGAAGTTCGAAAAGCAGCGAGCTGCTACTATGTCTCAGCGAAAATTGATAAAAGTTACGTCGCGATCAATGTCGCCTATTTGGCCAAGAGGATTCGCGATGTAGCCTCTTTCATAGTCGATTTCATTCGCGTTCGCGTTTATTCATCATCGATGCACCGAGAAGTATCGGGAGTATTTCGTGCAACATTTCCGAAACCGAGTCGCATGAAATCTCCTGTTGTTGCCCTCGTAACAACATCCGTTTACTGTTGTGTCACCCTTCGTCGTTACACACGACGTTTTCATTCTCATTTAGTATCTCCGTTGTCATCATTATCAAGTGCCTTCTCTCTCCCTCTCTCACGCTCTTGACTCACTACTTTCCGATCTGAATCGCGCGAAACCAAAGCGTATGCAACGAGTGACGTACTAATATATTTGTCAATCTAAATTCCGGTAAGTTTACATATACGTATACCTCAATGTTACGAACTAGTCCGTTTCGCTTGCGTCGACTATAGAAAATTTTTCGCAAGAATTATCCGCTCTCTTGTTTCTCGCGCATTGTTTATTTGTTGATCGCTGATTCGCTCGCGGTGACTCGTGACTCGCTTCATGCCACTGCCCGTAAGATTTTTCCTGCGGTCGCTAGATTTCCGGGATAAACAGTCTGTCCAATAAACTGGCGTGTGAAAATTTCTGAAGTTCCCATGGGAAAAACCTATCGAACTTAACTGTTCAAATTCATCGAATGAGACGATGATAATTGACGCGCACGCGATAAATGGTCACACGATCGATACAACGTAATTGTCGTTACTTGAACCATTTTATTGATGCGATGTTATAAACAAAATTTCTTTTCCGGTGTTTCTTAAACCGTAAACAGATTTGAAATTTTTGAATAAAACCCATATTTCCGTGTAATTATGAAGTCACTGAGTAGTTAATGCTTTTTCTTTCTGTATTTAATCGTATTCCTTGTTTTCAATCTTACACATGTAAAATGTTTACTTAATAGTGTAGGTGGAAAGTCCTGTCTCTGCATATAGTTTGTTCACATAAATGGAAATTCACTTTAAGAAGAGCATCGGTATGTCTCAAGCGTGTATTTATTTGATAATAATATAATATACGTATACGTATACATATATACAGGTGCAAATTGCCTTGAATAAAAAGTATATTATATCATGACATGCATTATGCAAATGCGCGAATTATAAATGAATATAAATAAGGCTATACTATCTAGAGCTATTTTTATAATTTCTTCCACACTTAGGCACTGTGTATTACAGTAATTAATATTGAAACATTGTATACTAAATAGCTAATTTTCTTTTATCATGTATAATGTTACGGAGCACTAAGTATGTTTAAGATTTTATGATAAGTAAGATTTAATGAACACAAATAAGATTATATGACATTACTGAAGTTTCAATAATTTGCAGATATGAGGTGGATGGTTCATTCCAGAATGTATCGCATTTAAGAGGCATCCTGAATACAAGAAAGTTTCCTTGACAACAACAGCAAACTGTCATCGTTTGGTACATAGAATTAGAGGAAAAAATGTCCCAATTAAGTATTAGTACAGGAAAGAGAGGGAGGAGTGTCGCAAGCTCCTCTGCATCAACTGTATCATCTCTAAGTAGCTCAACTGACTTAGCCAGTCTTTTTGAATGTCCAGTTTGCTTTGATTATGTTCTTCCACCAATTTTACAATGCCAGAGTGGACACCTTGTTTGTAGCACTTGTCGACCAAAACTCAATTGCTGTCCTACGTGTAGAGGTCCATTAGGTGTGCAATTTTTAACAGAATTTTTCCATCGTACAGTATGTGTTTAGTTTTTAAGTATCTTTTTCATGTATATTTTTTGAAGGTAATATTCGTAACCTGGCCATGGAAAAAGTGGCAGGCAATGTAATGTTTCCTTGCAAATATTCGACAAGTGGGTGCACCATCTCTTTAGTGCATACCGAAAAGGCAGATCACGAAGATGCATGTGAATTCCGTCCATACAGTTGTCCTTGTCCAGGTGCTTCTTGCAAATGGCAAGGATCTCTCGAACAAGTAATGCCACATCTTGTCATGAGTCACAAAAGTATTACGACTCTTCAAGGTAACTTCGCAGTTATAATTTCATAGTTATACTTGTAAAGAAATGAAAAATAAATTACATTGTTTTTCTTACAGGGGAAGACATTGTTTTTTTAGCAACTGATATTAATCTTCCCGGTGCAGTGGATTGGGTAATGATGCAGTCCTGCTTCGGTCATCATTTTATGCTAGTGCTTGAAAAACAAGAAAAATATGATGGGCATCAACAATTTTTTGCAATTGTTCAATTGATCGGCTCGAGAAAGCAAGCAGAAAATTTTGCTTACAGGTAAATATGCAGTTCGATAAAATATCAATAAAGTGCTTTAATTTATCTTTTAATGTTAAATAGACTAGAATTAAATGGACATAAAAGGCGTCTAACATGGGAAGCTATGCCACGCTCTATTCATGAAGGTGTTTCATCTGCAATTTTAAATTCAGATTGCCTTGTATTCGATACATCTATTGCGCAATTATTTGCCGATAATGGAAATTTAGGAATAAATGTTACAATTTCCATGGCATGAGGAAAGTTGGAAAAAGCAGTGTGAAATCTTTTAAGTGTACCGAGCGGTCTTTGGATTGTAATTTCATCTTCATGCCGAGGATTGCCCGTTATGTATATATATAACATTTTTTACGTTACCACAGATAAATATTAGCAATACGGATGTTAGAAAATGTTTGGAATGTGTTGATAAAGCACAGTAATCAAACGCTCAGTTACAGGACCTCTCTTTAGAAGCTTTAAAGTGTACTTGTATGTGATATTAACACTACAACACGATTACAATAAACAACCTTTCTGTATATTTATGCTGACTTCAAAGCTTTGACACTGGGTAAAGCATCGATTCCAAAAAGTACCTGATACCTATTGCATACTGACGTCACGTTTTTTTTCATCATTTTTTACAGAACCAGTTTTCATAAGAACATTTTTTTAAAATTTGATGCTTTTTAATAAAAGGTGTAGTCTTTATAAAAACAACGATATATATTTTATAAAAAGAATATAATTTTATCCAAAGATCTGTCTTGATCTGTTCACATACAGTCTGCTAATGCAAACAAACTTGAAGAACATACATGAAGAAATCCTTATATACGTAATTTTTTTACTGTATAGTATTGAATTGAACGCATTAAGTACACATTTGTCATTATTTATTTTCATTTAGGAACATCATACGTTCGCATATTTATTATTATCATTTAATTTTGTTTATAATTATAATTTTTTAATGGAATTTTTTAA